CGGTGATGGTGAATGAGCTATCTACTTAGGATGCGAAGAAACTTGCACTGTATATATATATATATATGGACTAGTTGCTTGCATTGGGGGTCATAAGCGGAGCAAATGCCAGCACCACGGAAGAAGGGATGGTTTACAGATACCCCCTGACTATGTATTTTCCCTCCAACAACCATCCCTTTGGTGGTGCTGGTGATCCCAGTCCCAGTCCGGATGGCTTGGTGTCCACGTCACTCCTGGGCCAGGTCCCCCGTTCCGTTCACCCGGCGACCGGTCCCTCCAAACCGGATGGGTGAGAAACCCCATACCCCATAGCCGTAGAATTCGGGACCGATCCCTTCATACGGTTGGTGGACGAAATCCTGCATCGATAAAGCAACACATGAGGTCCTCCAATAGTAACGACCCCCGTGCCCCCGAACTCAATGTTGTCTCAATGGTTGCTATGTGTGATGCAGGTCATTGTCTGTTTCAGGCAATTCCTCAACTCAATGTTAAAGAGGGAGCGCGAGGGTATATGGAGCGTCTGGGATATAGATCCTTGGACCTTGAACCACATCATCAGTGCCTGGAGTGTTGGTAGGGTGTTGGTCGGTCCTTTGACACGCTCGCATGACATCTGGCTTCGTCTCAAGAGTTCGGGCTGAACGGTCCGGACAGTCCGGACAGTCGTGACGGTTGGGAGCGTGGAAGGTTTCTGGAGATCAGTGATCTCACCAAAAGCATCAGAGTCTTGGTGAGTCTGTACCTGGAACATGGGATGCCCTTCGATGCCATTGGAACATGGTGTGAAAGGTTTCGGTCAGGTATATCCGAAGTTCCTTCAAAGAGACTGGGTCAGCGACTTGGTCAACAAGGTCAAACAAACTGGACAGAGACCAGACGCGTTCCCCTCACACTCAGGTGGCACTCGTACAACCAAGATCAGCTTTGGTCGAAGCGCGGCTATGACATCGGCCTGCAAAGCATGAGGACAGTCAGGTTGAAACGTACCATACCTGGACGGCCAGAAAATGGGACATGATGATCCGAAGGCCTACACCCAGTACTTTCCGAACCGACAGGAAGCGCAGGAAGGATCGGCCTCCGGGTATCTCCTTAGATGATGTTTTAGGTTAATTAGTGTCAACGCAGCTTCCGAAGGGTTCAACTGGGTTGGATGCCTCGGATGAACCGTCCGAGGGGTGCGCACCCGTCGGAATTGTCTAAAGGACAAGAAACAAGACCAGCCGATCTGAAAGATACACTCGATCCACGGTCTTTGGGGGTGTTGTTTGCAGGGTACTGTTGTAACCAGAGCTCTCGAGGATCCGAGCTCTGTTTGTGTCAACGCCCTGATTTGTGGACGTCGATATTCCTCAGCATTGGATAAATCCGATCACTCGCAAACGTTCTATATTATAGTACTATAGGAGTAGAATTCCCCTTGTTGGAAAACCATTTTCCTCTACAACAAGATCAACTAAGGGGGTTCCCACTTCCATGTTAGTTGCAGGGAGTGGCTCTCGGTGGCTCTCGTTGTGGGAGCCGACCGGCCTGCGGAGGATAGATATCCTCAACACGGTGCGAGAAGAGATGAGAGATCAGGCAGGCAGGCCGAGTTGTTTGACCACCGATGCGGGGGTTTGAGGTCTAAACGTTACGCCCAAACGTTCCGGTCGACCCACATGAAACGTGAAAACCACTGGTGCAGCTGGAGGTTCTATAGTCTTCCTGGCAGTCCATGCCAGGCTCCATGTGGGTCTCTTGTCGGGTGTCAATGGTGTGACCATAGTGCTTGGACGAAAGAATAGGATCTCAAGAGGTCCACAGTCCACGGCTGAAACGGATCCTCGCTTGCCATGCTGAGAGTGTTGACGATTCCTTAATATTCCTTATACAGTATACACATGAAAAAAAATATGGGAACAACAAAAACATTCAGAATTTGGTGATAGACCAGTGGTCACAAAGGGGTGGTGTTTAGTCCCTAAGTGAGTGGGTAATAGGCACCCCTAACCTCCATCAAGCACCCCATTGAAACTCCTGGAACTTGAATGTTCATGAATGTTCCATGTGCTGCACTGTCTTGGATGGCAGCTTTCCCTGGAGTGGTGATTTGTTTAAACAAAACTCGAGTTCTGGTCCCAAATCGGAAAAAAACACTATTGAATGCTTCACAGTGTATTTTCCTTAACAGCTAAAGAATACAAATGACATCAAATGAGAGGGCTGTTCTGGCCTAACGGCTATGACATGCCGCATCGCAGTTAGGGGGGATGAGCCGGACCGTGGACGAAAACACAAAATTCACCACCCTAAGAATCCGAACGGGCTCTCCATGCTCGGACCCTCCATAGCAGGGGTCCGGGCCTATCTGTTTGAGGGACCAGATTCTTAGGGCAGAAACATGTTGGGCGTCCTGTCCCAGGTATGACATCCTTCCACCGAACGCCGGGTTCCGCGGGTTATGACCGCACGCTGAGGTGACGGTCATCATCTCGAGTCTGGATAATCTTATGGTGGTCGGGCTTCCCAGAGAGGTGGATGAGGCTATTAGGTAGGAGGCCATCGCTAGTAGTTTGGAGGCTATTGCTATTAGGTTTGGAGAGGTGGATGAAGACCTGGATGAAGACCCGGAGTCGACCTCGACCTCCGGGGTCAACTAAGGGCACATATATGGGCACCCCGACTACCTCCATGGAGTCCGCATCCAACTCCATGAAACGGCTCTGAAAGGTCCACCTTTGGGAGCTCCACGATTTGGAGTCGTTTGTACATCGGACATACCCTCTGACGAACACATCACATGGAAGTGGATGGCATGGTCCCGAAAGGAAGACGACTTTCCTCTACCAACAAGGGGTTTTCCACTTCCATGTTAGTGAGTCAGAGTGTAGATCGAAGTAGCTATATCTTTATAGGGTACATCTGGCTAATTTTTCTGAGAAAACGAAGGACGTCGGGACGAAGGAAGTACCTGTTCGTTGAGTTCGGGATGGTTCGGGTTCAGGATTCCATGTTCGTTCGGGTTGGAAAGTCCCGTCGTTTTACCCGCAGGGTTCCTGTCCAGTGGCCTTTGACTGGATGGCAACTCTGGGGGCCAGGGGGGCCGGTCCTGGATCCCTTCTGATGTGGGAGCCCAATACACATGGAAGTGGAACATTGACCCTTGGATGACTATTCCCTAGCCTTCCGTTCCGCCCCCAAAATGGCCGAGCTGGTGTTGTAGTGTAAAATCCTTAGTAACACAATGGTGTAAATCGGGATTCAGACTATTGGTGGTGGTTAAAATCCTATGGGGTATTGGAACATGGATCCTTGGATGATTGTCTTTTACCAGCAAGGCGGTTTCCACTCCATGTGTTCCGTGGAGATCGGCCTCTTGCGCAGAAGAAAGGTGCCTGAGGGTGACGGGTAACCCCTGCGGACGGGTGACGGGTCTGTCAGTATCTCTTTTGGACGCCCATCGGATGGTCGAGGTATATTGAATCTAAAACTAATCCTACCCAGTGAGTGGATAATGGGTTTCGCCACAAGAACAAGAACAGTTCAGTCATGTGTGGTTAAACTCAGGCAAACGGCTCGGGAGTCAGTAGTGCTTTATCTCCAAGAGTGATGCTGACGACTGTGCGATCTCAATCTCAGGTCGCTACCTTGATGCTCTCCATAGGCGGGGCCTTTGCAAGCGCATGCGGTCCGCGGTCCTCTCCTCTAGCAAACTTGAGTCATGATGTATCTTACAGCCACCAGGTAGCAGCTACCTCCCAGAAACATTGAGTGCGGAACCTAAAAGCAATCGATTGAGAGACACGGACTCTTCTCAACCTGGGGCCCAGCCTCTTACCATCGTGACTGACTGGTGCTTAAGTAGGGAATGAGGGAATGAGCCCCCAATAGAGATTCCTTTGGATCCATTCCCTCATTCCCTACTAAGCACCAGTCAGGTGAAAGTATAGTTCACCAAACAGAGACGGGCAACGCAGCCTGAGAGAGCCTAGCTGGCTTGGTGGAGCACGCGCGCTCCTGGTTGCGGCGGGGGCAGCTTTGGAGCTGGAACGAAGTGGAGTTGTGACCGACATTATATATATATATATATTATAATAGCAAGTTACGTAACTAGAAAAGTTATCTAGAAAGTAGGTCCCCTTACATGCGTGCATCCAACACCTAACGCTGAGCTTATTGACCATCAGGATGACACCAAACAGCTCTGAAACCACGAGATTGGACCCTTTGCAGAGCAAATCTGTTGCTGAAACACCAAACTGGTCGAAGCCTTCGTGTTTGTGAAAACAACATTCGCCTGTCGCACCTGTTGTGTTTCTCATGCTTCTGGCATGCTTCTTGATCTTTTTTCAGGTTTGCCTTGGACAGACACGGGCACCCAACAGTCGGAGAGCTTGACCAAATAGAGGCGACGCACACACACAGAGAGAATTCACATGTTTGTTTGAAGTTCATGCTTCCGGCATGTTCTGCATTTAAGGTTTGCCATGGGCACAGGTGCCCGAGAACATACTTGGAAGAAGCAACACAAATCAACACACAACGCCATCTAACTATGGGCTTTGTTTGACACAACAGCTGTCAAAAGAGCTCGACCAAAGATAGGTTCGTTCAAAAAGAATTGGCATGTGTTGATTCAACATGTTTCTGGCATGCTTCTGGCATGTTTTATGTTTACGGTTTGCCATGGACAACTATTTGGAAGGAACTGCACATATTGACATTACAAGTGCAACAAAAAGAACATATCTAGATTATCTAACATTTGGCAACAACACTGTGCAGTGCCACTGGAATGCAAACAAAAACGGATTAACAGGTTAATTTAAAGGATTAAAGGGTTTCTAAGTTCAATTTTTGTGATGTTATAAGTTTATAACTTAGAACATTTTAGCAGGACTCTTGACCAACTCCAAAAGTATGTTCTAAGTTTGACTGATTCGACAGAACCATCAGAAAGATCTACCTCACGGCTGGAGCACGAAACCTATACCCAGTCAGTGGGACACCTGCAAAACCGTTTTTTGGGGGATTGGTCAACCCACTCAAACAAGGGCAGGTGGAAAGTTTGCTCCACTTTTATTTGAGTTGTCAAGAAAACGACTCGGGAGTCAAGAAAGGTATGGCAGAAACTGGAATCAAACTTGTGGACCAATCTCTCGAAAAAAGCCGGCCTGAGGCACCAGCAGGTTCTTATACCAAGTGGTTTTTCGTGAGTGGGCTGAGGCCATACCTAATTGCTGGCACCTTCCAAAAAAAGTACCGTACTTGACCAAAACCGACACGAACTAACTTGTCTTCCGTTTGTTAGACGACGCTACATTTGTTTGCACGCATTCTTTTATAGCACACATGTCATGTGCCACTGATTGACGCGCGGAGTTCCTGTGGAGCCTGGGAGGCTTTGGCTTTGTGGTGGAAGGCACCTTCCCACCCGCTGAGAAGGACTACGAGTATGACGACCTGGAGAGGAGAGAGGTTTCAACCGAGCCAGTGGTGCACCGAACGATGGCGCTGTCAAGAGGTGGAATTGATGCCGGGTGTTCTTTTTTGCCAAAGTAAACCGACCATGACGAATTAACGTGATCAACGCTTCAAATCGATTAAAATATGTGCCCAACCATCTCGGATCATATACCTGACAATCCATAGGGGTAGGCATACCGATCAGTTCGGGGTTGCTTTCTTGGTCAATGGCATGCAATGTTCTTTTTTTATTTTTTCAATGTAGGCATGCAGTGTTTGGGGATGAACACTTCGCTATCTAAGACCTTCCAGTTGATGAATTCGGAGCTCCCATCGCCCATCACGGGCATGAAGAAACGTGGTGGAATTTGGTGGCCATCCGGTCCGCAACGTCCTTTGGACCCAAAATGTGCCAGTCCTGTGATTGGAGGCCTTTTCGAAGAAGTATGATTGGAGTCATAACCCCCAAGAATCCGAACGGGGGTCGGACCCGACACCGTCGGACCCGGGGTCCGGGTCCCCTCCACCAAAAGCATCTGTTGCGGAACGGGCCCGGATTCTTAGGGAATGCATGTTGATTTGGCTCTTTCAATCCTCTTCTGGCCCGGTTTTCGTGGAAATATCATCAGCAGTAGCCCATGGCAAGCACGCTGGCATCCAATGTTCGGCATGTTTGTTGTATGTTGAACTAATATAAACTCAGGTCCGTCTTCAAACAAGCTTTGCACAGTCTCAGGTATTGCCGATGTTCAATCCTTATTGTTTATGTTGAAGCTTCAGTCTCGGATGATCAATTCCAATCATCAATGCTTGGTCCGGCCGGACAAAACATGATAAAACCACCACCCAGAGCAAATTAAACCGTGAGGCCTTGTTTTTTGTATTTGCTTCACCCCTGCACCCCACCATGGATCTACCATGACCTGCTTTTGATGTCGCCAGCGAATCTTTGCAAGATATATTATAAATAGACACCCCGACAGGAGGGTCCTGGTATAGTTGTTTGACACACTCACTGTAGGGACCACCTTTGCCTCCACTGACTCTGGCTCCATGCCCGGCCCCATCATGCTGCTTAGGAGACTCTTGATCCTCTATGCCGTCCTCGCAGCTCTCGCCCTGGTGTGGGACCTGGTTGAGTCCAAGGTCGACCACCGGCGAAAAAGTCACCGGTGGAAGCGATGCAAGTGGAAACCACCGGTTTGTAGAAAAAAACACGGTCTTCCAATTGCAAGGGGACCATTTTCCACCACCATGACAATTCTAGGTAGCGTAGGTCAGACTGAGAAGAAGCTTCTTCTTCTTCTTCTTAGCCAGCACCACGCATTTCCGGCCGTGATTGGAGAATACATCACCCGAACTTTATGGGAGCACAGCTTGGTCGATGTTTGTGCCAAGGTACAAGGGTTTGGGCTTAAAAGAGCACGACCACATAGTGGGATTCGGTCCCAAAGGGTGACGTACGCGATGGTTGGCTCAAGAAATGACCCGTAGGACGAGCAGAGGATGCCACGACACGTTCCCCTCTCGAGCCACAAGCCTTCTGTTGTTTTCATAGCTCTTAGTCTTTGTCATCTTGGACTGCAGTCCAGCACAGTCGATCCCAAACAGGGACCAGCTCGGATCTTCCCCACCTCCTTCCTGGTGGATCCACCCCTAGGGCTCCTGGCCCACCTCCTGAGGTTCGGTGGTTGGGGTGGGTGCCAGGAGGGTCTAACCACCGAACCTGAGGAAATGGGCCAGGAGCCCTAGGGCACAATGATCCACATAGCCTCCTATCGAGGGTGATGCGTTCTACACCTTTACGTATAGGCAAAGTATGGCATGGACAGTCGGGTCCAGACCCTAAAGACTTGGATCTAAGTGTCGCCCTAGGGATCCACATACCTTCTTCGAATGTACTTGGGCCCTGAGAGCCTATACTCCAATCACCCTCTCAAAGGGTTTGCCTATCCAAATCAGGTCGGTTTTGCTCCACAGGTCTTCCCTTTGGCCTGCATGATGCTCACCATCGCCGCGCGCTTCGAGGCCGTTTCACACTGCCCAAATCAAAGGGTTTTAGCACATTTGGATCACTCACTCCTAAACCCTATGAATTGCCCGAACCCGACCCGCCAAAGGATCGGGAATCTGGGATCTCTCTCAAGTGTTCGTGTGTCACACCGGGCGTTTGGAGTGGGGCGGGGCACCAAAAGAAGAACAACAAGATGGCGACAGTACCCAGATTTCGTGGCATCCCCACTTGGGGAGAGGGAAATGTATATACCAGTATATATATATATTCTTTTTTTCGTCGAACAACGGACCATGGAGCCCAAACACCTAGGACCTAGGACGCGCCTGCGAAGCACCTGAGTGAGCGCACCTTGAAATCATCGCACCTTGCCACTGTAAGCGCTTGTTCAGCACATCCACATCGGATGCAAGACGTGCCGAAGAGAGGAACAGATCGGATATCCAACACCAACAATGGATGTCCCACCAACACACACCTATGGTCATTTGCGCGAACTTTGCAGACTCCTGACAAGGGTGATGTTTCTTTGGGGAACTTTTTGCTTAAGAAGATTCTTCACATCTATGGAGCAATCCTGTCTGGCAATACAGCTGAATTCTCTTTGCAATTGCCATAATTTGCTATGCTGCCACGGCTTTGATCATGCATGGAATGGCAAAAAACCTTGACACTACAGACTTCATAGAATGACATGCCACCGAAGTTGGGGATGTGAACCTTGCCTCTGGTCAAGCCCAATAGACAAATCCAGCTGCCTCGAACACCCACGGCTGACTCCAACATACTCCAACATAGATCTCCACGTTGCGACTCAAAGGCCAAGCAGTACTCAAGCGTTTGTATACAGAGATATGCCGTCTCATCCAACACCCAACATATCCCGACTGCAGTCGGACACCCATGCCCGTTCCACAACAACGGACATAGACGTATTGAAATGATTGAATTGGTTTAACCAACTACATATATATATATATATACACCACATTATACAACTATACCAGCAACCGCAACCACCCAGAGGGTGCTTCCACTCAGTGAGTGGATGTGACGTCGGGGCACCCGTTCCTCCATGGAAGTGCTGCCTTTCTTTGATCCCAGACACGACTCGTCTGGGACTGCCATAGGACTGCCGCCCCATTGACCCCCCCAGTCAACCACCCCTGGCCTGATCGGCATATATAATATATAGACTGTATACGACCTGCATGAAGGACCTGGGTCCATCCGACTGCGTAGACCCAACGACAGACTTCGTAGACCCAACGTGTCCATGACGAGACGACTCGTCACCCAAAAGCGTGTGGGTCGGACTAGGGGGGTAGTGACACGTCGCCAGGCGCCAGGGATTGCTACAGGGGTTGGTTGATGCATGCATTGGGTGCGCTGGCATCGAATTTCCTGTTGATCGCCTGGTTGGTTGATGCATGGAGAGGATCACAAACCAAGTGTACAACGAAGTGATTTCGCCGTGTTAATTTGTCAAACGGATATTGAACTGAAGCCGAGTTCGGTGTGACACCGAGCGTTGGCAGGTGGAGCTATGTCAACAAGACGTGATGGGGGATTTGCAGAAGCATCTCCTGAAGGCGACATCTGGGCCAGTCATGGCGACGCTGGGCCGCGTTCCGGGTCCCCAAAAAAATATCATGGGTTCGCAAAGGACGCTTCATGGAACCATATGGAACCTCCTTAGCTGCTTTTGAAGGAGCAGGCTATGCCAGGCTCAATCTTTCAGCATCACTGAATCACTGAACATCCGAACATGACATTCACTCAAATCATGTACCTATACCCAGGCCTACCCATAATTACAAACTCCACACGGTACCTCCTGATTTAGAGGCTTACGCCTAACAGCCGGGCGCCGGCCCACTAGGGTCTGTGTAGGGCTGGGTCGGGTGCACGTTAAGCTATCGGGGGCGTACTGGGCCCTAGGTTGGGCCAAGTTGGGCCCATGTGGTCTATGTTGGGCACATCTTGGGCCCATGTTGAGCCTATGTTGAGCCTATGTTGGCCTATGTTAGGCCCATGTTGGCCTATGTTGGCCTAGGCTGGGCCTATGTTGGCGTATGTTGGCCCAGATGGCCAGATATAGACAGGAATACCTAGGCAAAGTGGTTCAGGCCCCCTTTCAGGGTCGAGAGGCCGTTGACCGTGCCGGTGCCCGTCACGATGAGGTTTGCCGCCGCAGCCTGCGTGCCGATGGTCACGTTTCCCCGCAAGGACGAAGCGCCGTTGACAGTGCTGCCGCCCATGACGAGGAGATTCGGAGGCGCGTTTGCCGTGCTCACGGTGAGGCCTCTGGTGCAAAAGGAGATGCCGTTCACAGTCAACGTGCCGTTCACTGTGTGTGCAAGCAAATTGCCGTTCGCAGCCAGCCCCAGTGTCGCAAAGGAATCGCAGGTGAGGTGCGAGTACGACTGCAGCGAACCAACGTCAACGCTCCCTGCTATGGAGGCTCCGCTACCGACTTTACTGTAACTTTCTAGGCTAGTTCCAGAGTTTGCTGTCAAAGACGCCCATGTAGCATAGCTTCATTAGCGTGCAGAGTAGCCTAAGTAGCGCGAGCTGGTGGCAGCGAGAGCCGCCCGTGTGGATTAGCGTAAGACCGCCTGACCATCCCCATCCCTCTATAGTGCTAGTAGAATCTCAGGGTTGAAGCTGGGGCTGAGAGGCTACTTATTACTTTCAAGGCTAATTCCAGAGCTTGCCGTCAAAGCCGGGCGTGTAGCCTGGCCCGTTCAGCAAGTAGCGTGAACTGGTGGCAGCGAGAGCCGCCCGTGTGGCTTAGCGCAAGACCACCTGACCGTCCCCCGCTAGCAGCAAACGCCTTAGCAGAAGCCATGTAGAGTCCGATTCTTCAGACTCTTCAGAGATAGTCTTGCCATTGAGCTCCCGGCAGAATCCTGTGCCTGAGCCTGTGTCTGGCCATAGGCGAACCTGGTTGAGTCAGCACTTTGTGCCTGCCAGTGGTTCCTCTTCGTCGCAATCTGTGCCCACAACTCCTGTGGAAAGGAATTTTGATTCTGATACCATGTGGACGGAGTTGTCGGA